TATTTATTTATTTGTTTTCTAAAAATTTCATGTTTATTTGATTTATTTGAGAATAATTATTTTATATTTTTACACTTTATTTTTATCCTCTCATAGAATAAGTTATGCACATCATCTCTTACCTCATCAACAAATATAATTTGGGGCATTCATATACATGCTACAATATCCTAATGTATTTACATCTCCAACACCTACACTTTTAATATTTACATTCATAACTCAAAAATAAAGACCTCGAGTTATTTCTGAGTTATTTCACGATTATTGAAAATAACCCAGAAATAACCTGAAAATAACTCAGAAATAACCTGCGTCGCACGTACATCTACGTCAGAAGTCCGCACAAAAAAAAATTAAGCCTGATTTAGGGCCAAAAAAACTGAAATTACAATGTAAATTAATATTTTTTGACCTTATTTATTTGTTTTCTAAAAATTTCATGTTTATTTGATTTATTTGAGAATAATTATTTTATATTTTTACACTTTATTTTTATCCTCTCATAGAATAAGTTATGCACATCATCTCTTACCTCATCAACAAATATAATTTGGGGCATTCATATACATGCTACAATATCCTAATGTATTTACATCTCCAACACCTACACTTTTAATATTTACATTCATAACTCAAAAATAAAGACATTTCTGAGTTATTTCACGATTATTGAAAATAATCCAGAAATAACTTGAAAATAACTCAGAAATAACCTGCGCCGCACGTACATCTACGTCAGAAGTCCGCACAAAAAAATTAAGCCTGATTTAGGGCCAAAAAAACTGAAATTACAATGTAAATTAATATTTTTTGACCTACGCTTCCATTAAATGTTAAAAAACCACATAACAAATGTTCAAATGTCAGATGTCACCCATCATTCTATATAAAGCAACAGTGTTCAAGTGACTCGACTAAATACATGAAAAATATCACCTTTTCTTGAATCCATATTTCTTCCTCTCATAGAACAGATCAGTCTTGGCACTGCCCAGGTTGACAATCTTCGGGCACCCGTCGCGGTCCTTCTCCTGCTGCGTGCATTCCTTGCAATAATACGCGTCCGATATGCCGACGCCGCCGCAGATGACACAACGGCCCTGGAACGAACCATAGTTGCACTCGTCGCAGATTCGCACGAGCGTGCAAGGACGAACATAAGAGTCGCAAACGACGCACTTGCCGTCATCCTTCTCGCACAGCCGGCCGATCGCTATGCCCGGTTGTTTCCGGCACATGATCAGATCAGGATGATGCTTTGCCATGGCTTCCTAGCTCCTAAACAAGAAAATGAAGATTAGCGTAAAGATATCATGAAATTATTGATTAGGGAAATTTGCATGTATGCCACATAGTTCATGTGACCGACCCTAAGTTCAGGTTACCTTTTAAAAGTTAAAATGGTGGTCTAGATTTGGTTGTATAAATGTAAAATGTAAAGTTTGGGGGGTGGGGGGTGTTTGGTTGGATACTGTTAGATATGTAAATACATAGGAATTGAGGGGTATATATGCAGATGTGTTCTGGTAAATACATAGGAATTGAGGGGTATGTATGCAAATGTGTTCTATATTAAGTTCTTTTTCTCACTTTCCAGTATCTATTGACCCACCCCTTCAAACAATGAATGCATCCATATAAATATTTGTCCACACCACTCATCTATTAAATGAAAAAAAAAACAAGCACAAGCGAATAAATGTGATATTAAAATGGAAGATTTACATAAATACCACTCAATCCCCCTATGTAATTACATATCTAACACCAAAAATTCAATTTTTACATACAAACCACCGTACTTCTGCACGAAAAGATGCATTTCACTATTTAGAAGTTAAGGGGGGGTAAACCACCGTACTTCTGCACGAAAAGATGCATTTCACGGGGGGGTATTTTTATGTAATATGAAAATTTTGGGTGGTACAAATGTAAAAAAAACAAAATATAGGTGTAAGATATGTAAAAGAAGACAGGAATTAGGTGGTATGTATGTAAATTCCCCAATTAATATTGATTCCAAAATTCAGATAACACCATTGGCTTATTCAAGGAATTACATCTAGGCTCTATATAAGCATTAGCTAACCTTTGAAAAACGAGCACAAATCATTGGGTATATAGATTAATTAATTGTGGCATTTACAAACATACCGCCGAATTCAAATGCATTTACATATCTAACAAATAAACTTAGATTTTTACATTTATACCACCCAAAAGTTTCACGATATAAAAAATGCCACAATTTTAATTTTTAAAAAGAGAAATACAACTTTTCATGCATAGGTAAGGTGGCATATATGTAAAAGTTAAAGAATATGTGTTAGATATGTAAAAACATAAGACTTGCGAGGAATGTATGTAAATCTTCCTAATTAAATATAAATGCAGAGGGCAAGCATAGAATAATGATTAGATCGCATATATTATTATTCAGTAATCACAAAAAACAGCTCTGTATTACATAGAAAGTAAGGCTGCATATAGCAAAACTAATATCCAGACCCCGCATCAATGAGAAGCCTCATGCATTGGTGCAATCCTTATATAAAGGGTGGAGTTTAAGCCGAATTGAGTTTGATCTGAAATAAACTCGAGCTCAACTCATGAGATGTATGATTGGCTCGAGCTCGAGCTCGAGCTCAACTCAAGCTCATAGATGAAGCTCGAACTCGGTTCGAGCTTGGCTTCGAAACTCCATTTTGCTAAAAATACATTAATGATGTATTGAATAGTAAAACTTTATTTATTATGTGAAAAACAAGATTAATTAATGAATTAATTAATTTAATTGGCTGATTTGATAAGATCCTTAGTTGAGCAGGCAAAAGCTCGAGCTCAAACTCATATAATATAAGAAGTTGAATCTAAGTAGGAGCTCGAGTTTGTGACTTGATAAACTTGAGTTGCAAACCCGTTAACAAGTCGAGTTCAAGCAAGCTTGTCTCACTCACACCCCTATATAAAGTTTGCTCTATCTTGTTGGCATCACTTTTGAAATAGTATGTGTATAGTTTCCACTTGAACACTACAGGATTTTGTTTCTCACAATTCACTGTCTCTCATAATGCAAGATATCCGTTCGGAGCTCCTGATACGTGTCTCGATACCGATTCAGCTCTATCCGAGAACGCTCTCTGTTAGGTGATGAGAATTCTGACACGATACATATTTAATGTCCATTCCTGTGTTTAGAGACCATGTTGTGTTTATTCAGAACCTCCCATGATCAAGGGCAATCACAAAATTCTCCCACACGTGTTTTGGAAAAATCACGGTTTGGAACGACGATTTTAAAACATTCTAGACTTTAAAATTAACACTTAATTTTCTGCATGACCTTCATGCCGAATTTTAAATGGATTGCATAGCATTTCTCTTAACCAAGTCATATAATAGAGCCTCCACTTAGGACTGCGGTAGATAATTGCATTCATATTTACATCTCCCAGTGAGAAGTCCATCTGTTTCTTAAACCCGACTGACTAAGCATAAGTTCTATATTTAGGTGATTGACTAGCCCGATTAAGATCTTAGAGGCTGCACCGATCCAGATGGGGTGTAAGTACTTTATAGAGAGTTTCAGCTTTATAGCTGGACTTCTTCTTTCATTTCTTTACTGAGGCATCTTTGTCAACTATTTGACAAGTGTGAGTCCCACCTGTTGAGTTCCACCTCGTAGGTCATAGGACTAGGGTTTTACTTCGCTTGACTTTAGGGCTACTGAGGCTCCCTTGGATGACGCAATTCACGGATTGCTGACAAAAGGTCTACAGTTATGTTGGGACGACTACTTTCACGGTAAAGTAGACTTAGGGTCGTAGTAGCTTGAGATGACAGATCCGTAATATCCTGACTCGACAACATCTATCTTTTAAGATTACTCTATCATTCCTCTTGTTGAGCCATGTCGCTCTCTTTTAGACTTCATTGATATCATCTTAACAGCCCGACTACCAATGAGTTGCCACCCATTTGGGATACGGTAATTCACCCTCTTGTCTGATGGCCCGGTGAGCTCTGACGTAAATGAATATCTCCGTCGAGAAGATTTTGGTTATCTTGTAGGCTCCCTGTGTCGATGAGTCGCTACCCATTTGAGATGTGAGAGATTCACTCTCTGTCATGTGACTTAGCGAGACTTTGAAGTATAAGGGTGTTCCCATATGAAATAATCATCCTTTGATGACCTATTCTTCGAGTTCATGATAATATAAATGAAACTTATTTTATTCAGAGTATTCTTAGGTATCCCCCAGGATATAATTAAACAGGGGGATACGTTCTTCTGAGAGACTCTTGACCCCAGAAAAAAAAATTATTTTTGATTCTCTAATTATGGGTAACTCATGTAGGGATTCTCTTCATGGATGTTGTGTTTCAAGATACTTCGATCTGATCTCGTTATGACGTATACTCTCGACCCATCACATGAGGAATTCATATCTAAGTTTTCCATTGTTTCTTTTTAATTATTTGTATATTTCTTGTCGTATCTCATCACTATTTGATTCCTCTCCTATTCGAATCATTTATGATGATATGGAAGAGAGATTTATTCGAATAAGAAAATTATACGACATAGAAATAAACAAGTTGACGACTCCGAATTTTTAAAATGAACCAAAAAGCATACCATTAAATTGTGTCACTGCCATCTCCAAACCTCACATTTGCATGTGGATGTTAGAGGCCTCCATTTGGTTCATGAAGTTTTCCAATAATAGATTCCATTACGTCAAGAAAATCAACAAAACCTCCATATATTTTTTAATGCTAGCATATTAAGCTCCTTAAATATCTAACCCTAATGCGTGTGACAGGAAAATCGTCACCTTCCATTTTGACAATTTTCACATACCTAAATATACTCCAATCCACCATGCACACGCTCAATATGGCAAAGCCCAATAGATCATACAGAACCTATTATAGAATTCAACAACAACAAGCTTTATCCCACTAAGTGGGGTTAGCTACATCAATCATTTTTCTCCATTGCGTCCAATTGAGTGTTATATTTTCATTTAATTATAATAAATTAAGATAATTTTTTTATACAATATGCCCACACCTTTTTTAGGTCTACCTCTACCTTTCTTAACATAAGTCAAATCTAAAACATCTACACTCCTAACTGAATCATCAGATGACCAACGTTCAATGAGACCAAACCATCTAAGATGGCTCAATCTAATCTTGTCTTCCACTGGAGCTGCACCAACCCTATCACATATATAATCATTTCGCATTTATTTTCTCTAAGTGTCAAGCCACTCATTCACCTAAGCATTCTCATGTCAGCAACACCTAACTTTGTCTTATGCCTAAGCATTCACCTAAGCATTCTCATCTCAACAACACCTAACTTTGTTTTATGCCTCTCTTTTAAAGGCCAACATTCTGCACCATAGAGCATAGCAGGTCTCACCACCAGCTTTTAAAAATTTCCTTCATTCTGAGCAGCAACTTTCTATCACACAATAGGCGATGCATTCCTCCACTTCAACCAACCAACTTGAATTCTACTAATAACATCCCCATCTATATCACCGACACTTTAAACAATAGACTCGAGATATCTAAAACGTTCACACATTTTTAATGATTTGATCACCCATAGTTACAGCTCTGCTACTAAAGTTACTACTAATAAAATTACATTCCATGTATTCAGTTTTAGATCCTACTCAAACGAAGGCCTTTAAATTCTAATGTTGACCTTCATAATTCAAGTTTTTCCTGAACTTTCTCTAGTTTCATCCACAAGAAGAATATCAACATCCATAACTAAAGCAAAAAAAAAAAGAGTTTAAAGTCGATACCTGATGTAATCCAAACTTAAAAAAGAAAATAATTGGTCAATCCTCATTCTATTCGAACACAAGTAACAACTCTAGCATATATATCTTTAATGACTTGAATGTAAGTTATTTCAACATTTTTCTTCTCTAGAACTCTCCAAAGAACTTCTCTTGGAATCTTATTATAAGTTTTTTTTTTAAATTAAAAAAAATCATGTGTAGATCCTCCTATTTCTCTTTGTATTTCTCCATCAAACCTCTCAATAAATGTATAGCTTGCATAATAAACTTGTCCGACATAAATCCAAACTGATTATAAAAAATCTTTGAATCAAATCTTAACCTATCCTCAATTACCCTCTCCCATACTTATAAAGTATCACATATCAACTTAATTCTTCCATAATTTGCACACACTTTTTGTGTCCTCTTTATTCTTAAAAATGTGGACTAAAATACTCTTCCTATACT